AAAAAGAAAGTAAATATTATAGAGGGACTGAAAGAAACTGAATATTATAGAGGGACTAAAAGACTTTGTAAGAACATAATAATTCCTAAGAGATTCTAAGATTCATCCTTGAACCTACTGATCAATAGAGAACATGTGAAGACGTTTGAAAGTGATAAAACTCTTATCCTGAGTTGTTTATCCTCTGTTTTCAAAGCCCATTGATCCGAATAACGTAAACGCTGTTTAGCCGAAAAAAAATAATATTTTGGAAATGTTAAACATAACCGTGAGACAAAAAACAAAAATGGGCGAATTTTTTTTCAGGTAATTTAAGAACCCAGGTCTTCACCTGGTTCCCAAAACTAAAAGATGGGTTTCATTGATTAGTAGCACATGTTATTATCTGCCTTCACATTAATAATTATGTTTGGTTTATTACTTGTAGTTCTTTTAACTCTATTCATCTGGAGATTTACTTATTGGCCAGTATCTTCTGTAGAAAAAGAACGACGTCCAGGCCTTCCAGCAGAGCAAAGGAAGAGTCGAAGGGAGTATGTTCAAGAGATTCAACGGCTTGGAGCTCTGTGTGAGACACGCACCAAAGAATTGAAATTACTGAAGATACAACTAAAACATGCCTTTTTGGGATTTGACTCTTTCAGCATTGTTGTGAAGTACTTGACAGAGGAGGTAATTTTTGGTTTATTACATTGGAATGTATTGTACCCAAACAGGGTCTTGTTTATGTGTTAATTCCTGTGTTAAATACTGTGTCAATGTACAACGTATTACAGAGCTAGGAGTGTTTTGTGTTATTATCGATGACATGTTATTATGAGATAGGTTAACTGTACTAAATCAACACGTGTTATTAGGAAACACGTGAATTATGTAGGTAGAAGATCGTTTTAAAATTTTGTTGGGAACTGAAGTACTGTGTTCTTGTAACGCAAGGTATTATTGTAGGCAGATTGACTATACTGTTAGAATGTAGTTTTGATATATTGTTAGAAGTTTGAGGACTGTGTTGTTGTACCCTTATATATATTGTTGGAAGACTTGTGATATTGTTAGAATGTAGTTTTGATATATTGTTAGAAGTTTGAGGACTGTGTTGTTGTATCCTTATATATATTGTTGGAAGACTTGTGCTATTGTTAAAATGTAGTTTTCATATATTGTGATACAGTATTATTGTTGTATCATCATCAGGTATTATTAGGAGACATTGCTGTATTGTTAGAAGGTTGTGACACTGTTTTGTTGTATCATCATCAGGTATTATTAGGAGACATTGCTGTATTGTTAGAAGCTTGTGACACTGTTTTGTTGTATCGTCATCAGGTATTATTAGGAGACATTGCTGTATTGTTAGAAGCTTGTGACACTGTTTTGTTGTATCGTCATCAGGTATTATTAGGAGACATTGCTGTATTGTTAGAAGGTAGTTTGATATACTGTTGTGCTATCACAAACTTTACTGTTATTATGAAACTGAAAACACAGTTAGTGGGTGAGCTGTCCGATATTATATATCCGTGATAAGAGTAGGAAAACATACCCTAATGATGAATGTTATCATTAAGTGTTGTTAAAAATTCAACCTAATGCAGAATATCTAAAGATATGTCTTTTGTACTTTATAAACGTTATTTTTTGATGCACTATTGGCAGTGTTCTACTACTTGACTCTATAGCTAAACAATAACATATGTCAGAATAATATATTTCATCTGTCAAGGTCCTCTAAAGTTACACTGTCGGATTTTTTTAATAGGTTTTCATTGGTCACAAGACGTTGTTAGGGAGGATTGTATAAAGCGTGACTTATACACGGTCATACTGGTGATAAGTTACTCAAAATATTAAATCTACAACAGTACTTGAAATTAACAATTAACGTTTGTAACAATAGTAATTATAACGTTTAATATATATCTTAGATATTATAGATATTATTTTGCATTGCCAGCTTAACATACGGATGTACGGCTAACCCAAGCCTTAGCTAGTCGAACCCCCTGATGTATTATTGGGTTCACGGCCGAAAATATACATAAAAACGAGGCTACCCATCTAATAATAATTTATAATTAAGAACGTGAGAACATGATATTTAGTTAGCTATACTCAGGAGTAGCTTAATTTTTATTTGTGATATTTAATATTAAGTAATCAAAGGGTTGATATAACACTCGCTTTATCTTTATCCAACAACAGTCATTCTGTAGTAAGACAATTCCTAATCCTGCAAAATTAGATCTTTACATAAAAAGAAAATCTTCGTAAAAATACCTACTTGGTCTACATTTTTAGCTTTCATAAAATTAGTTTAAAACGTTCAGTTATTTATCAGAGTGTCTTCAATGCTCTGTAAACTTGAAGAATCTCTATCGAAGAAGATTGAGCAAAAAATTAGCGAAATATTCAAGTGTGAAACCGTGCGTGGAGTTAAAGATGTGGGAATCACACTGATATCCCATACACCATTAATCATTTTCTTCCTCAAGCCACGATTTAGTTTACAAGAAGGTCAATTTTAAGGAAGAAATAGAGGCTGAGCAAGGCTTAATAAAAATGGAAATTAGCCAATTATTTGATACACAACATATAGACTGAGCGAGGCCTAATAAAAATGGAAGTTAGCCAATTATTTGATATACAGCAAATAGGCTTAGCAAGACTAAATAAAAAATCTAAGTTAGTCAACTATTTGACATTCAATGGATTGATTGTAAATACGTGTCTGCAGTCCGTCACTCCCTGTCGCTCCACGGTAGGTGAGAGGATTTATAAAGCACGAGTTTGGGGTTCGATGCCTACAACGAGCACAACGCAATCAACCCATTGTGCAGTATCGTGCTTAAATACACAAAACAACAAATTCCTCGCAATAATGGTAAAAAAGAAACGTTTGTGTCACAGTTAGCTCGCAATAATGGTAAAAAGAAACGTTTGTGTCAGAGCTCGCAATAATGATAAAAAGAAACGTTTGTGTCACAGCTCGCAATAATGATAAAAAACAAACGTTTGTGTCAGAGCTCGCAATAATGCTAAAAAGAAACGTTTGTGTCACAGCTCGCAATAATGATAAAAAAGAAACGTTTGTGTCACAGTTAGCTCGCAATAATGATAAAAAAGAAACGTTTGTCACAGTTAGCTCAAAATAATGGTAAAAAAGAAACGTTTTGTGTCACAGTTAGCTCGCAATAATGGTAAAAAAGAAACGTTTGTGCCACAGTTAGCTCGCAATAATGGTAAAAAAGAAACGTTTGTGTCACAGTTAGCGCGCAATAATGGTAAAAAAGAAACGTTTGTGTCACAGTTAGCACTAAATAAAATGGCGTCGTTTTGCAAGAATAGACAGGTAGTAAAACATATATTTTGTAATGCATGATCAGCATCAGCGAAGAACAAAAGTTGAACGTGTTCAATTAAACAGGGCGTGTCTCTTAAGAAAACAAATTCTGTGTATATGTGAACTGAGTTCACCCATCTCGGTAGTGCTGGTTGTAACAGAGGGATCGTTTACAGGAAAGGTCTGTTAACCACAGAAAAAGAAGCTTACTCAGATCTATAAGCCACGGTGGAAACGTACTTCAGTCATGGGTTCTTTGTTTATAAAACAGATCTGTAAACCACGGTGGAAACTTACTTCAATCATGGGTTCTTTGTTTATAAAACAGATCTGTAAACCACGGTGGAACTTACTTCAATCATGGGTTCTTTGTTTATAAAACAGATCTGTAAACCACGGTGGGAACTTACTTTAATCATGGGTTCTTTGTTTATAAAACAGATCTGTAAACCACGGTGGAACTTACTTCAATCATGGGTTCTTTGTTTATAAAACAGATCTGTAAACCACGGTGGGAACTTACTTCAATCATGGGTTCTTTGTTTATAAAACAGATCTGTAAACCCATGTGGGAACTTACTTCAATCATGGGTTCTTTGTTTATAAAACAGATCTGTAAACCCATGTGGAAACTTACTTCAATCATGGGTTCTTTGTTTATAAAACATATCTGTAAAACACGGTGGAAACTTACTTCAATCATGGGTTCTTTGTTTATAAAACATATCTATAAACCCGGTTAAAACTTACTTAGATTATGGGCTACTTTTATTTATATCTATATATATATAAGGTTTGTGTAAACCACAAACAAGCATTATTTATATTTCGCGATTTTTTAAAAAAATTTTTTTTTTTTTTTTATATATATATATATATATAT